TTTCTAATTTGATTTCCATTGACTAGAGGGCCATTTTATGCTCTTTCCGCTCCGCAGTCATTTGATTTTTAAGCTGTTTAATTTCTTGTGTTAATCTTTTGTTCTCCTCTAGAATTTTCCTATACTGTGGGCTATCAGTTGCAGGAACATTGGGAGGCACTGGACTCGCCCAGCTCACCTTGTTTGGTTGGTTGTTTTGTACGTCCTGCGTACTAAGGCCAGTGGTTGCTGCTACTGCTTCTTCTTTCCTGGCATGGGCGGAGCTTGTTTCCAAGCTGCTGCTCGGTGTTTTCTTCAAGTTTGGCTTGCCAGGGGCCTCCGCAGGCTTGCTGATATTCCGCTGTTGCGGGGTCTTTGATGATGATCTCGATCTTGATCGTGATCTGGAGCTGGATCTAGATGCCTGCCGCGTCTGGAGCGTCGCTTCCTCTCGGTCTGAGCTGAACCAACGAGGAGGTTTCTGCTGGTGTTGATCAAATGACGGGAAATCCTTCTCGGCATAGGTACATTCTGTTTGTCTTCGAGGCGTATCCACTCGTGATTTTCGGGGGGCCACATTTTTCAGTTTCTTTTTGCATGATTTGTCTCCTGTAGCGTGCTCTTCACCGCATATGGCGCAGTTCAGGGCACATTCATGTTCTTGAGTAGGATCACACGTCCAACACTTGTAGCACGCGTTGGCGTTCGGAGTCGGGCACACGTCGGTTCGGTGTCCAGTTGATCGACAAATCTTACAAACCTGTACGGTAGGCTTGTATGGATAACAGATCGCCTCTGCACCCATAAAATAGACACACCTGGGGAGCACGTCACCCGTAAAAGTTATTATTGCTGACTTCGAAGAGCCCAGCATTCTGGCTCTCTCTATCTTCACCCCTTGTGTCCGTATTCGTAGGTTTGCCATCAGGTCGGCCTGAGTGGTTCCGGGCGGTAGTCCGTGAGCGATGCCTCGCAGCACGTCTTCTGGGTCGGCCACGTACGCATTGAAGGGGTGAATCCGTCCTCTGATTTTCAATTGGTTGATCGCTCTCAGCCTGCCTGCCACTTGTTCGTGTGGCGTGGACAATATTATGATGTTCGATCCGGGGTGGACCCGCAGCAAAAAACTTTCCCCTCCAAAGCTGTTCCGGCAGGCTTCTATCACTGCCACAGAGAGCTCGGATCCAAATATATTTTTCACTGTGAGGCCCTTGTGCGGTCTCAGGATAACCTTTATGTCTTCCTTTGGAAGGGGCGTCGGTCCTCGGCGTTTTCTGCGCTGGAAATCGCGCTTGACTTGGCTGTCCCGTGCTGCGTCGGCAAGCGGATGGCCTGCTGACTTTTCGTTTTTCTTCTCTAGTCCCTTTTCGGGTTCTTTCTGGCTTTTTTTAAGGTTCTTTTTTCTTCTGCGTGAAAGGACGGTGTGCCAGCCGTCCTCCGTCCAAGTAAGAGCCAGACCCGCGTCGTCATCGTTCTTGTTATCGAGAGATGCGGCGCTGGGCGCTTGCGCGTCGTTACTTGGTTCCTCATTTGACGAGACGCTGTTCGCGTCGCTCGGTTGATTCTCCGACACCAGCGATGCGCCGGGAGGGTTTTCGTCAACGTCCATGTAGACGAAGAATTTCTAGGCGTCCTTATGCATGCATGCTCAGTAGAAACAGGGGAATGGGCCGACCTCCGTTTTCCTCTGCGCAAGACGCATAGTCCGAAAAGGAGGTTAAATGGCACTCACCATTGATTTCCAACTCGGTCAGAAAATGTCGGAGAAAGTCGGTCGAATAGTGTTGAGCCAGTCGACGCACCCGTCGCCGCACCGCGCCCGGTTTAGCGTCCCGGCGCCGCCGACCGAAGCCGGTGATACGGTAAGCTGCGTTCGTGCACATCGTATCTTCAAACGTTGATAATTTCTCGTGAAGCTGGTCCAGGTCCCAGATTTTGGTGTCCTTCAAGTCCTCGCAACTTCACGGAAAAGATGACGCACTCTTCAAGTAGACTTGAATGAAATTTTCGCCTGAAAGCGTTTCATAAAGCGGAGAGCGATGTGAGCACGTCCTCACCGCCTTACGCCACCTAGCGGATCTCCCTATCTGGCAGTTTTCTTGAAAAACGAAGCGCGTGGCTCTGAGACTGGCGTGCGCCGTCTCAGAGGTGATAAGCTGTAGAACGTAAGGCGACGGGTAGGTGCCACCACCGTGTCGTCTTAGCAAAGCGTTGGAAACTCTCACCTTTTCGTGCAAGCGGTGCATGGTCAGCGCAGCGTGATAAACGCTACGGTCTTTGGAATTACTTATGTATGCCTTTTCTAGTAAAAAAAAACGTACATACAGACTATACACGTGTTGTTATGGTACCTCCGATATGCGCAACAATTGCTTTTTGATTGACAATCGCACAAGTATGAACGCTGAACCTTGAGCAACATTGATGGGCGCTGCGAATGGGGTCAGCCGTTTGGGGTATCGGCTGATGCCGTTCAGAGTACCCGGTACCGTTAAAAGTGGACAAACAGACAAAAGTACAGACCGACAGACACCAAAATTTTTGTGTCGCAGGTCCCCAAGAAAGGCTATCGTCTTTAAAAAGGGCGCGCGTGCGCAGTGCTCGCTTTTGAGCTTCGCAGGCAGCCGTCGGAAGGCGCAGCGGTGCTGTCTGACATAAGGTCCCTAGATGGAACAAGGTTTGACACGCGCTCCCGTGGTCCGCCAAATTTTGACCGCCACTGTACCTTTGGAATCGATCTTATGCGAAGCATGCTCATGGAAGGTGACTGTATTTATTGAATGAGACCTCGTAGAGTGGCGTTAAAGGTATGTGCAAGTTAAAGCCCCAGGAGCTTTGATACAAGTGGGCGCACATAGATATGCTAAACAGCCACATATGTTTTTATATAATCAGTTGTTCACAGTATAGCGTTACGACTGGAACAGCAAAACGGACATTAGTACGGCGGATATTAGCAACACCAAAAGCGGTAAGCTGATATGAAGTGCTGGTGCTCGCGAGGATGGTCATTTGGACACTGCTACATAAATCAACGTCAGTGGATGGTGCCTAACTACAATATAAGTTAACCAGACGTGACGACTGTATCATAGGAGTAAATATGTAGTGTTTATAAAATTGGATGGGCAGCACTCCCACCAGAATTGTAATTTCACAAACATTACGATCCATTTGTAAAGGAGTTGATTGATTGATATGTGGGGTTTAACGTCCCCAAACCACTATATGATTATGAGAGACGCCGTAGTGGAGGGCTCCGGAAATTTAGACCACCTGGGGATCTTTAACGTGCACCCAAATCTGAGCACACGGGCCTACAACATTTCCGCCTCCATCGGAAATGCAGCCGCCGCAGCCGGGATTCGAACCCGCGCCCTGCGGGTCAGCAGCCGAGTACCTTAGCCACTAGACCACCGCCGCGGGGCATTTGTAAAGGAGTTCCGAGACCTGATGTGGCTCTGTGGTAGAGTACTTGACCGTGACGCAGAATGCTGGGGTTCGATTCATGCTGGGACCCTCACATTCGTAGCGTTGACCGGGTCGACCCTGTGGATGTGAACTTTTAGATGCAAAGCAGCTTATGGTGAAGTTCAACTCTGTGTGCGTAACCAACTTTACCGTGCATGCTACACAGCTGGCCCAGCACTGCTTTTTAGGCGGTGGGCTGGCGACGCCACCTAGACCCGGCGGTAGAAGTCCGGGAGGCCGAAGCGAAGAGGGCTTGCCGTCAAGCAAACCCGGGTATGCGGGCCAATGAAACCGTGCGAAACGGCTACGGCGTAGAGCCGTACAGGACATGAATCGAACCTTGCACGGTCACGCTCACCCTCGACTGCGAGACGGGCGTTTCCTGTAGACGCAAGCAGTTCCCCCTAATGCAAGTCAATGCCGTAAGGGTACACTTACAATTCTCGAGCAGGAACGTGCTCTTCGGAAGCATGTGAACACAACGAGATGCACCAGCGGACACTTGATTACGTGGCACTCAGTCGCTCTACCAACATCGACAACTTGTACCTGACCGACGCCAGCGGGGACCGCCACTTCTACCAGAAGACCTCCAGTGAACACAAGGACATTCTCGGCGAGTTTCAAAGTCTAGAGCAGCGCTGGTTGCCCACCCTGTCGTTGAAGCTCTCGACGTATCACGAGAAAACAGCACAAATTTCCAAGAGAGGAAAAATGCGTAGAGCCGCGTTCCGGTTGGGAAGTATCGTGTTTGAATTGCGAAGCGTTTGCTTGCATGACAGTTCAGGGTGTTGCTTCTCCGCGTTTGCGACAGATGGAGTGATGTGCTGCCTAAATATGGTGGCACATACTGAACTTGCTGTGTTCTCGTGTATAGCTATGTATCAAGTATGAGAGTGACCACTAACTTGCCACTTGACATTCCCAAGCGAAGCTTGCTCCGAGTTATAGAATTCGGTGCCTTTGCGCGCGAAAAACCCGAAACCGGCGAGTGGGCGAAAACTCGGCCCTCATAGGTGTGTGGGTCACTTGTATGCGCCATTTTCCGATAATCGATAATCTCTAGATCATCAGCTTGTCGGTGTTTAGGTGTTTCTGGTATGACAATTTGATCTTTTATAGAGGTGGCAGGTCATTTTACGTTGCCGCGTTTCACTGTTGCCTCGATAAGAATGCACGATGGTCGTTGTTACCTGTCAGCAACTGAAGGGTTGCGCGGCTAAGCACATGAAAATGTTGAAGGTCCGATTCTCGGTATGGGAGAAGGAAACAGGAGAGAGTTAGGAGCGAAAAAAAAGGAGACTATGCTACGTACGTCGGGCACGCACACGCCAAGTTCAAGAAGCCTTCCCTTCAGAGAGAAAAAAAAAAAAGGAGGGAGGATAGGCGACCATTTGGCCGATAAGGGAAAGCTCCCGAATCACTTTTTTTTGACAAAGTAGAAGTGTGAGTCAGTTGGTGTTGTATATTTGGCAAAGTGAAGCTCAGTAAAACAATCGTTTGTTGAGTTTCGCTCTGTCATATCTTCTTTGGTTCCTTTTGCACAGAAGGACCAGCAATACGAGCAGTCTTTCGAGGCGTTGAATCTGCGGACGTCTCGTCACTTGCCCGACCGACATGCTTCTCCGTCTGCTGAGCGCCGCATGCCTCGTAGCGGCCGCGGCTGTGGCCAGTCCGCGACCACCAGAGGAGGAGGCCTTCGAGGCGGACCACAAGTCCCCCTTGACGCCCCTTCTTGACAAGAGGAACGACGTTACTTCCTCGACGTCCGACTCGTGCTCCCTGGACGCCACCCTGGCGTCCATGACCATGGGCGACATGGAGAGGCTCATCGAGCGCTTCGCCAAGCTGCAGGGCATGACCGTGTCCGGAGTCGTCAAGCAGCTCTACTCGGCCCTCTACTCGTCCATCAAGCGGAAGGTGGCCGGTGAACAGGTACGCGAGGTCACGGTCACTTCGACAGCGAGGGTCGTTCGTTAAAACATGCGTAAATGTGTCTAGAAAAAAGTTTCGACCATTTATAGCACGCTGTACTCTACTATGAAAGAGCGATACGCTGTGCCAGTTTCAATATACACAACACCACAGATGTGGAATTCCGTACGTGTTTGGAAAAGGTGGTTAACGATTTAAAGTACTTCGCACACTACCATGGGAGAGCAAAAAGCCGTCCCGTGGGCGTCACACATGGTGAGGCCCTGTTGACAAAACTTGTGGCGTGAATGGCCAGAGGCACCCGAGCCTTCATCTCCGGGTACCGTGGAAAATGAACTACGTATTCAAGATACCCGAAGACCACACCGTTGTGTTTAGGAAAAGTGGTTAACAATTTAGAGTACTTGGTACTCTACTATGGGAGAGCATATAGACGTCACGTGGACCTCATACTTGATGAGGCCACGTCGACATAAATTATTAGGAACCATTTCGCATATATCTCCGTAGCCCTTGGCTGAAAGGAAAACGTATATCTGCCCTCCAAATGGAGCGTTCGACTCGCACAGATCGCAAGCTTTTACGGCGAGTAAAAGCTACTCAAAACAAGGTGCCATGTGTTTGTGTGTGCTTGACCCAGGCTGGGTTAGTCTGCTTCAGTCTTCAAAACAGCGGCAGTAAACTCTCTGCCCTTTCACAGTGATAAACAGGGCGTTTAACGTAACTAGCACGGTATGAGCTCAGTTAGAGAGTGCAGTCAAGCGCTTTCATTTCATATCTCGCGGGATCTCTTTTGGTACTAGAATTGGTCTTGAAGTTTAACAAAGTAAAATTAGAGCAACTGAAGGTGGACGCTAAGACAGACAAGGACTGCTGCGCCGGTCAGTGGTTTGCCTCCTGTTCGCGTCCAGCTTCATTTGAGCTAATTTGACTTTTTTTTTCTAGACCTACTAGCCCAAAAGTCTGCCCTACTGAATATGTTTCTTTAAACGTCGGAAGAAGTCGCCCCGCAGCAGTGTGCGCTGCCACTAACTGTGGGATCGGTCATATTTGAATGCCCTCTGCTACGTAACAAGATGCACTTGGTGCTATGGTGATTGTTACAGGCTTAGAATATTTGATCTAATCTGAATACCTAATTAGACTAAATGCACAAATTTGCCTTACGAGCGCCCTGTAACGGTGAACATGTCATTGCGTTAATTCAGTTGCGGCTAAGCATTTTTAAAACCCTTGGTTCTAGCAGGATTCTTTGACACTTTTTTTTTTCAAATAAAAGTATCAAAGAAGCTCGGCACATTCGGCTACATTGTAATCATGGTCGTCTGTGTGGACAGTGGAAGAACGAGTGCCCAGGCAGCACGCCGGCTGCCACTTTTAAACCGCGCAGGGGAGGCCATGCGCACCGCGACTGCGCATGGCCCGGCGTGCGAGGTTCCGACATACCTGAGGGGCGAAATCACCAAATCTCCCGAAATCTTGTTCCTTCATTCTAAACACCAGTGGTAATATAACAGCGTCAGTAACTGCGATATTCACTTCTCTCGCAGGGCCTCTCGCCCATGGCACTGGAGGCAATTCAGGAGCTGTGCCTAGGTGGCGCTGGTCCCGCCTACCAGCTGGTGCCCCCTCACGGTCCCATCTTCTCGGGCCTCAGCAGCGCCTTCATGCCGAACACAGAGTTCGCGCCCCTGCCGCCCATCAGAAATTTGCGGCCGCCGGTCAGTAGTAATTATAACCGTGGTTTTACGTCCAAAATTCACTATGTTATTAGGGCTTATGCCGTAGCGAACGGCCTTGGAAACTTCGACCATATTCTGTGTTCTTTAACGTGCGCCGACATCGTAGAGTACACCGGTCTTTAGCGTTTAGTCTCCACTGAATTGCTACCGCCGCAGCCCGGATCGAATCCAAGACGTTAGGTTCTGCAGCCGAGCCGCTACACCACCGCGGTGAACGCAGGTCAGTTTGCTGGCCCTGTACCTGTGATACCATTTGTTAGCGTCTCGACAGAGTTATGAATCGCATGGTCAATGGCTCGATCGCTTGGTCGATTGACCGATTGACTGTTAGGGTTCAACGTACCGGTACAACAACAACAACCAGGTTTAGAAAGGCGACATTACAACGGTGGCATCTAAATCAGCGTCCGCCGCGGTGCACCGCTGCTGATACGAAGGTGGCTTGTTCGAACCCCGGCGGCGCTTGGCTTTCGGGGGAGACAATAAAGAACACGCCATGGTGCATTGGGCAATGGCGGGGCACGTTCGAGAGCACCAGATGGCATGACATTTCCGCAGATCTTCTCTACGGCGTACATCATCGTCGATTAGGCACGTGCGACCCCAGATATTGCCATTATCAATACCATGGTCATACTGCCGGTCGGTAATAATTATAACCATCCGTAAGCTGCAGTTTAACTAATCAACCGTTGCGAGACTTGCTGGAGGGACGTGTGTGGTGTCTCCACTTGTTATAAATGCAACACGCACGCTGGATACAATTTGCTCTTTTCGCGCTGACAACGCAATTCACGCGATATTCGGGCATTTATATTTTTTCGCTGATAACGAGTTCGTCTACAATTTCACGCGCCAGTTTATTATCTCGCGTACACCACTCGTATGAACGACACGTGCGGTCCTCTAAATCAGCCGCGCTGCCGCATTCCGCCCGATGAAATCCTAGTCGACATCCTCGCCCTCCTTCTCCCAGCGATTAGCTAATCGACGATGTCGCCGCCCCATTTTTTTTTCTCTTAGAGTGAAGGGACCTTATATAAGACGTTTTTGGCATATAGCCCAGAAACACGTCGCACAAGGACTTCGTTTTTATAGACTGTTTTACTTTTGGCGCATGGGTACCGCCATCTGGCGCTGTTCGCTTACTTTTGCACGGTGCAGATTCGGTCTGGTTGATAGTCCATTCGTGCTACTATAGAGCGAAATTCAGAGACGAGGGACTAACCATTTCGCCACGCAAGAGTGCTGACTTGCAAGTGAATCTTTATTGGTCATACACATTTTTGTAGTGTCCGTCGCAGTAGATCAGCGGCCATGGTGCGCTGCTGTTGGCCCGAAGGTCGCAGGTTCGATCCCAGCAGCGTCGGTCACATTTCAGAGAAGGCGAAATGATTGACGGCCCGAGTGCTGCACGATGTCAGTGCTCGTAAAAGAACACCAGATGGTCGAAATTTCCGGAGCGCTCCACAACGGCGTCTTTCATAATCATATCGTGGTTTTTGAACGTAAAACCACGGATATTATTATCATTATCATCATCATTATTATTATTATATTATTATTATTATTATTATTGTTATTATTATTATTATTATTATATAGTGGTCACCACGCGCCTGCATAACTTCAACTCCACAAATATCGGCATCCTAAAGCGATAACAGAGAGCTTACAAGAAAGAAATCACAGCATATCAACGAAATGAATGATGAGTCGGACGAAGCACCCGTCATTCCTTCCGTGCTTCCATCCGTTCGTGCGACCGTCCATCCGTGCGTCAGTCCATCCGCACGTGCGCCCATTCGTGCGTCCGTTCCTCCGTGCGTGTGTCTGTCTGTCTGATTGTCTGTCCGTCCACGCGACCGTCCGTCCATCTAGTGAAGACCTCCTGTACCGCCATCTCGCTTCTTTTTATCATATATTCATCATACACAAGTACCGTCATCCAGCGGATAATCCAAGGACTAAACGAGAGTATGTACCACATTTCTGCAGTCAGCGCTTTGTTATCACCGAGAGCGTGGATAACGACGCTGTGCTACGTTTGTCGTAACTTGTGGACATGCGAATAGTGTGCCCGAGGGCGGGTACTGTGCCACTGGTATGCGGGTATATGCCACAGGCTACGTACTACGACAACGGGACGCACATGTCACGCCATAAGGAGCTTCGCCCCTAAAATACTTATACATAACTGACCTAGCACTATCATGTGCTGCACTCGGAAAACATGATTCTCTCTTTGACGGCAATAGATGGCACACTCATACAATGGTGATCATGCTTGGCCATTGCTGCAGCTTCGATTACTTCTCGTGTTTCGCTGATACCGATGCATTTACCGCTTTTTAGATACAGCGTTTACTCGGGGCTGTGTCCGTCCCTCGGCGACCGTCCGCTCTCCCACTGCGCATGCGCCAGCTCTCTCCCTCTCCTCGCGTGAGCGGGAGCAGGTGGCAGAGCGCCACCTTCACTTTGTTTCTTCTCTCCCGTTTATCTCCCCGCCAGAGCTGCGCGATTGTGTTTAATGTTGCGCGAGCTCGCTACGTTGCACTCTCCTAGCTGAGCTGGGTGTTCACTTTGTGGCACACACAGGGTAATACACACAAATTGGAGGGGGGGGGGGGAGGTTACATAAGCAGTACATAACGTATACACAACTCCACACACAAATTATTGATTGATATGTGGGGTTTAACGTCCCAAAACCACTATATGATTATGAGAGACGCCGTAGTGGAGGGCTCCGGAAATTTAGACCACCTGGGGTTCTTTAACGTGCACCCAAATCTGAGCACACGGGCCTACAACATTTCCGCCTCCATCGGAAATGCAGCCGCCGCAACCGGGATTCGAACCTGCGCCCTGCGGGTCAGCAGCCTAGTACCTTAGCCACTAGACCACCGCGGCGGGGCCACACACAAATGAAACATACACGGAAACATACAAATGGAAACACAGGTGTACACCAGCGCTGTTTCGTATTCCCACAAGGTTAACTCCTTTTAGCGCTCAGAGGTGGTGTAATTTTTCTTGTTGCGCCTTTCTTCGCTTAAAAATTGTATCCTCGCACTCCTAGCATGGTGATTTTTTAAATTGCGAAAAAAGTAATTTATTAATGTAAGAAAAATCATTTTCCCTTTTTAGTGACTCTTTAAACACCAGCAATTTTTTTGAAATATTGACGTGCGCTGGCATTCCTGCATGTTATTTGGCAGCCTGGCGCCAAGCTGCGGGTTCAGACCGGCGGCGGAGACCTGGACGCGAGCATCACCGTGTCCCCCAAGATGACGCTGGTGGAGGCCCTGAGGCGCGCTGACTACAAGCTGGCCGCGGACACTGGCCGCGGAAGCGGCGTCCTCCACTTGGGCTTCTCGGCCACGCGCGCCTGCTACATCGTCGAGTCTGTCGCGGGTGTCAGAGCGTCGCCAGAGCGTGCCTGGAAGATCACCATCGTGGATCGCTTCGGAAAGGTGAGAAGGGAACCCGGAAAGATGTTTGTTTTGGGTCCCTTTCAGGCCAAATGGGGTTCCATGGAGGCGAGAGATTCCAGAACACCGTCGCCCACGAAAAGAAAAAAAAATGGCAGCATATCCACGGAGTGAATGCTGGAGAGTGGGGTGAAGCATCCGTCCGTCCATTCGTTCTTGCTTCCATCCGTCCATACGTCCGTCTGTGTGACCGTGCGTGCGTCTGTTCGGGCGTCCGCACGTCCATCTGTGCGTTTGTCCCTGCGTGCGTCCATGCATCCGCCCGTGCGTCCGTCCATGCGTCCATCCGTTGGTGCAGCCATCCGTGAGTCAGTCCATGCATCTGTCTGTGTGTCCGTTCGTCCATCTATTCAACACTCCAAGTACCACCATATCGCATATTTTTATCATATATTCCGCATATGCACCGCCATCCAGCGGATATTCCAAGGACTAAACGAGAGGTGGCACACACACACTTTCTTACGGCTGGCGCTTCGTGTCTACTTCCCATCTTTAACCACCTCGAGCTCATGGTATAATGTAGTTCACTGTATTCATGGATCTGTGGCCCAACGCTCGCTAAACCTTTCTAAAACCAAGGAGGTTATGCCCAGCGAGTATAACGTAGCAACCCTTTCTTGTCAGATAGTGCTTAATGTACATGCCAATGGCTGCTAAGGGAGAATGAGAGACAGGAGAATTCGGCTTTTAGTTAACGCGCACACTGCGAATTTTTTAGAGGCGAGCTTTGACCCGTTCCCTGTTCCAGGCAATGCTCCAGTAACAGCAGCAACATAATGAACAAGATCTCCTCGTCTGCCCCGACACCTCAATTAAAAACTAAGCCTGCTACATCAGCCGCAACAGCTCTGCATTAACATCGCCTGTTGCCTTCCGCCAATCCTGTACTACCCATTATTCCCATGGTTGCTCAACGATCGCAGCACCATAGCTGCCTCTCGTAAAATATTGTAAGAAACTCTATGGTTCTAGAGGAATTTAGCATGGCCTCTGAAATTGCGCATGGCGAATTTCGAGAAAGTGTTCTCGCTAATTCGTATATGCCAGACCTTTATCCTGTCTTTATCTTTCTGTCACTGAACCTCGGAGGACACGCTATGGCGGCATTGATGTTAACAAGATAAGGTAATGGGATGGTTCTAGAATATTGGTCGAGTCAACTTATAGTTTTTCGATAAAATGACTCACCAATTAGACAGCTCAACACGAGTATTATATTTTTCGCTTTTGTCTGCTGACACGGAAATACACAGTTGATTGAGCAGCCAAAATACATAATCTAACATGATTATCTTTGACGCCGTTATATTGATGATCACGTTGTTGCCCATGACTTATGACGATGACTTTCACTCAATACAAGGAATTTATCAGGTAGTGGATGAATGGCTTCACTGAACTCTAAAGGGTAACACTACTGGATGTCACAGTTAAATAATACGTTGATCTCAGTTGCCATTATCAGTAAATAAATTCTGAAAGCTGGCAGGATTTCAGAAGACATTCTTTTATTCTTTACAACAAGTACCGCAATGGCGAAGAAAACATCCCTGTGGCTGTGTCCCAAAACACAGGTCATTAGCGGAATAATGATTGGTGCTGCTGTTTAGGGAAGCTCAGAAGCAATCCAATTTTTTTTCTTCTGTGTGAATAACTTGTCTTGCATTTATGTCTCATTATGTTTCTTACGCCTAGCTTTATTTGTCACTTCGTGCTTGTTACTTGGCGCTAAAGTAAACAATTTGGGGATGCGTATCTATTCAAAAGAAGGCCGAGGGTTCTTTACATATATGTGGAAAACAGCTGATTAGCATACTATTCAGTTCAACTTTGACACTTCCACTTAACGTGGGAAACATGTCCTACATAACGGTATAACAGCAAAAATTTTGTGAGTGGGTTTTGGGCTTTCAACAAACATTTATGTCTGTTCATGTGTATGTTTGTATGTGTGCGTGGCTATGTACACAAGCAAAACTGGAAATTTTCAGTGGCAGGGTTTTAACCCCTCCCCTTACCTTCGGCTACGGCAATGCTACCTAGCTATGTCAATGTCATAGCTATGATGATGCACACCACGTAAGTCAAATAAGCATTTTTTTCTTCTTGCTCTTTTTAAGGAATACGTGGTAATTTGAACAGAAAAATAAGGACGTTTCGAAGAGATTGAAAGCTAGGAGACTGGCTACTTCCCACTCCTTTTGCAAGTCTGTTTCTTTCTGTTCGCATTAGCACGGATTCCTCAAAAACCAACAGTCTTCTGGGCTACAAATTTTACTTCTTACAATTCGCTATTAACGTTGAAGACGAAAAAAAAAAGCAAAATGTAAACGTTAGCTTCACAGATCTTCACTTTACACATCATGACAACCGGTTCTTTACTGATCCCCCCTTTGTGAGTCAGTGACATCAGAATAAGAATCATTCTAATCAGCTTCATCCTTATCGACTGCAACGATCTCTTGAAAATTATGAATTGTTTCCCTTAAATGTGGTCCACGCTGTACCTTATGTAAGGCCCTATACACAGGGGGAACCCATGTGTGTCGCGCGTAGTGTTGCTTGTGGCGTCGTTCTTACAACCTCTGTGTCGTACATGTTGTTAGTCTCTTCATGACACCAGTGAAAAATGCTCTCGGCTCTGATATTGTCTTGTGCTTAATGCGTTGGTGCTTAATACGCAGTTGGTGTACGACAACATCTGCCTACCTTTGAAGGACGACGACCTGGTGGTTCAACCGAGGATGAAGATCACCCTGACATACGTCGAAACCAAGCGAAAAACGCAGTGATTGCGCTGCACAGCGACGCACTGCCTTATGGGGCTGCCCACCCTGCACGGTGGGATATCTTCGCCCAGAGCCCCAAGCCATTACACTACGTGTTAACTTATTTCCTGTCTCCCGCCTCGCTGTATGCTTCCCACTACAACTACCTCCACGTCTGAATAAGGAATGCCACCGTCTGCTGTTGGTTCTCTTTCGGCCAGCCGACGAGGGGGGCTCACAGGTCATGGCAGCGTCTGTGGTCACGGTTTACTAGCGCCAGGCACGTTATGTAACGGTCAAGCATTGTAGTCGTGTGCTACAAGATGTAGCAAAAGAAATGGTGAAGGCGATGAACTGTTCCTCAAAAACCACCACCAGGTGCATGCACATGCATGTTTTGTTTGCGAGAGCGACCGATCTTGCTCGTCACGGCCATCTGACTTACTGAAGGCTTACATTAATCAGTGAACTAAGTTCCCTTGCGGGAGGCCGAAACGTCGGTAAATATTTTTCACCTTGGTCGGCGTCCATCAATGTGTCCGATCACTTATTACTCAGGGTTAACGACGTAAGCCCGTACTTCAGATAGATCCAAAAGCGAGTACAGTATCGCTATCATACGTCACCGCTTGTCGAGGATGCATGGTTTCAACCCCTAGTAGTCGACCAATAGCTATAGTGCGGTCGAAATAGACTGCACGTTTGACTTCAAAGAGACGCAGGTGTGAAACGCATGAAAGTTGACATATCCATATGTTTTGTTAGGAAGTAGGTATAATGTAAGTGAACAGAAAGAAAAGAGTAAATACGAAGATGGTAAATGCGATGCACAGTGTAAGGAGTTGTAAGCTGCTTCAACCTCAATGCATATCTTGCGAGTCCTCGCTTGTTCGGAAACCAAAGCACAACATTTGCGCAGTTTTCGGCTGCGCTAAAATACTCAGGGTCATCCCAACTTGAATAGAATTATTGACGGCGAGGTGTGTTCCCTAAGCGAGCTATGCTTTTGCAAATCTCGGCCAGCTCTAAGGCATCCATGTTAACATCATCACTCTCCCCGCGAAAGCGATGTCACGCAGGGATACGCCGAAGGTTACGCCGTGGTTTGTGTTGGGAATAATAACTTCTTTACAGAGTGGTCATTTGAAAAAGGGAACATGCGAGCACGTGGCCGCTTTGAGCGCCAGCTAGAGTCAGGGAGAAGAATTACGCCCACTTTTACGTTATGTATGGGCGGCCATAGCGATCGTCTATCGGGTTAGAGAATCAGACAGACAATCGCCTATCGGCCGTGCCGGGTGACATCGACCACCTGCATGAATTACGCCAAAAGCGGACGTGTTTTAAATTGGTGCAACTTGCTGACACTTTATAGGCAGAGTGCCGGGTGACATCGACCACCTGCATGAATTACGCCAAAAGCGGACGTGTTTTAAATTGGTGCAACTTGCTGACACTTTATAGGCAGAGTACAGGCCACACGCACGACTCTCCCGCCTTCATAAAGGGCGATACTGTACCTTTGAATGCCTGAAACCGTGACCACGCTGCTGTTGAGGCCGTCTCGTTGGCTGGCTATCGAGTCGGTTCTGAAGTACAAACTTCAGGCGATGCTCCTGGTCGGCGTCGTCGAAGAGTGCATTAATAGTAGGTTGTGACGTCAGGCTAGGCAACACTGGCCCAGCAGTCGATGCAACTGAGCCAACAGCAATCGCTGTGGTGCCGGACAGCGGCACCGGAGATTCAGAAAGTGAACCCAATAAAGAAAAGAAAAAAAGCGAGAAAAGGCGTATGGTAAACACGAGGAACATTCACTTCATTTCGTTCTGCTTCGGTAACGCTGCAGTATCGCGGTTTAATTTGCCTTTCAGATGTGGCTATCACAACCAGTGAGGAACCTTCCTGCAGTGACGATAGGAGTCTGAACAAGCAATACAAGCCAGTGGTATCTGAATGCGCGAAGTGTTCAAAGCTTTGTCGTACGTAGGTGACCTTTTCATTGCCCGATCCCTTCGACAATATCGAGAGAGGGAGGGATTAAGAGAGAGGGAGAGAGAACAAAACCTTATTGGCGGGGGGTCGCAAATGGTCATGGACCCCAGTACTTCTCTAGCCCTTGCCACCATCTCTGCCCTTTGAACCAGCCAAACCTGATCCCCAAAAGGCCGAGTGGACACATTACTAAGTATCATCATCATCATCATCATCAACAACAACAATAACAACAACAAACGAAAACAAAATGCTGCTTCTGGAGATCTTGCACAAAGCTTGGCTCAGTGTCATTGGGGTGAGGAAAAAGAGGAATTAAAAAATAGAAAAAGAGTAATAGTGACATGGAGAGAGTAGAGATTTGAGCAAATTTGTGACGCGGGAGCCCACACATACGCTATTCTACCAGTGAACTGATACAGACGACTTTGACAATAACATGTCAAGCTATTTATATGATTAGTAAACTCGGTTACAAACTGAGAAAACACGTAAAATTCACCTGTATATCCACTGCTGCCTCTTTCACCGAGGATTCGCACAGAGGATCCAAGCAATAGCGCTTGCCTATTTTTGTGAAGTCGAGTTGTACAAATGTTGCATGTACCATTTGACTTTCTTTTATAGAGGTGCGTTTTTGTCGCTGGTTCTAGTTTGGAAATTTGAGAAATCCTGGTAAATTTTGCTTGTCGGTGCAGCTGACACTTTTATAATGTTGTGACCTAGCATAGTAATGTTGACTTTGACCTCGTAATAAAAGGAATAGTTTACTTTCACCTAATAAAACACGTGCCACACAGGCTATACTCAAACGCCACACAGGCCAAACACTTGCACGAGAGTCTCTCTGAATGTCGTCCTCTTCCTCCACTGTCCACAGAAGGGCACGCGCATCTCTAACATTCGTCCGTCCTGCAACGCTTAATGTACTAGTTAAGGCTGTCCCGAGAATGTTCTTGACTAACTCAACATACAAATGTCCGGCCATCCTCCCATATACAATACTTAATAAATTACACACGAAGGAAACAAGATACAGAAAAAAACATGCAAGGGAATGTCGTAGTTTCCGACCAACTTGACTGGCTTGACTTAGAGGAAAGTCACAACGCGCACGATGTCAGTGTATTCTTGTCTAAACTGTGGCTTCGACGCTTGGTCAGGTTCGGGCTTCGACTTTCGTTGGTCCGTCTGCAGCGGTTCTTTCTTCGGATATCTCCAGAATCTCCAGTGTTCTTGGTGTCGTCTGGTTCTGTTGGCTTCAGCTGCTTCGGCTCACTGTCCTCGTTCAGGGTGGTTTGGGGCTGTTCGTTCTTTTTGCTTTGCGTCTGCTCTCCGGCAATTTTCCCCAACTTTTCCGATTCTTTGCCTTCCGTTTTGTCGTCCTGGCTTGGTTGGTGTTGTGGCTTTTCGTCTTCTGCAACCTCGCCTTCATCTTGCGCATCCTTATGTGTCGCTCTTTGTCCCTGGGCTGCTTCTTCGTCATCTTTCTTTTTCTTTCCTTCTTCGCCGCAATGTCCTACTGTTTTTTCGCCGGTCCGGGTTTTTCCTTGCTGTATTTTTCCGTAGCACATGGTTGCGAGTTTTTCTGCTTTTCTTTGCCGTCAGTTCTGGCTTCGTACCTGTCTTTCAGCTTTTCGTTGGATTCAGTAGACGTCTTGGGCTTTGGTTTTCCACCCATCTTCTCTGTCGGTACCTTACTATCTCCGGAGTTCTCGGTGTGTGGCGGGGCTCGTTCGGAAAACGGGTTCACGTGTCTTTTGCGGGTCGCAACTGGCGGGACTTCTGGTTCTTGTAGACACTGGACGTCCCCTGCTTCCGCTGTGGCGTTTCCGGTTGAGAGTAGATGATGGCCTGTCGCGTAAACTCTGGAGCCATGGTGGACAAAGGTACGATGGAAACGTACCTCGAAATCCTCCAACGATGTGATATGGAAGCTTCTCGAATGGTACCAGTCATTGGTAGCTCCAACCAGCCGGGCCTTGGCAATTTCCAGCGTGTCGGTAGCTGACCACGAATGAAGTTTCGACGTTCGACGAACGTTTTCAATCCACTCGAAAGCCGAAGGAGCATCTTCAGAGTCGTAAAAGGCCCTGATGTTGCGGCTAAAGTGAGTGATCACCTGGAACGTTGACACTGGTTGAGGCTGTGCTGCGCCGGTCAAAAACAATCGTTCCAAAAGGTCGTTCAATGTCTGTTCTTGAAGAGCTTGCAGCAGTTCAGGAGCCGTGATGGTGTCGCTGTGGTTGGAGTCCGCGTCTCCACTGTCAGTCAGGCTGATTCTATCGTCGGTACGTTCCATTCCAGGGTTAGGGTTACCAGTTCCGTGCACTGGTAAAACTCGCATCCGTTGGCGACTGGATTTACATACCACTTCTGAACTGTAGATTTCGACCTCGTAATAAAAGCAATAGTTTACTGTCGCCTTATAAAACACATGCCAAACAGGCTCTACTCAAACGACACACAGGCTACTAAACGCCACACAAGCCAAACACGTGATGATGATGATCATTGGATCACTGGAGACCTTGCACGAGAGTCTTTCTGAACGTCGACCTCTTCCTTCACTGTCCACAGAAGGTCACGCGCATTTCAAAGAGTAAACACATGCACGGCGACACACACGCGCGCAATTACAGCTTTGCACCAGCAGGGCAAGGTTGCTTCCAACCTTTCCCTACTGGTGCAAGGCTAGAACCAACAGCGGAGCTGTAGTATTCCGACTCTAGAGGAAGAAGTTGTATTTTCAAGCTCGTTGCCCTGCCCCCCTTAAACGCCGTCGCTTTGGTAGAAATGTCACGTGGCCTGTGGTGCGCGAGTTTGGTGTGAAAGTGTCACGTGTCTAGTTTCACTTGCTGTCACGTAAAGTTCCCTTCCTGTTGCTTTTTCTTACTTCCACTCTCTTTTTCTATTTCTAGCTTCTTTGTTCTTCTATTCCATCCTTTCTGTCTCCATTTCTCGCCTGATGCTTCATTGTTTACCTCTATTTTCTTAGGTTTTACGCTACCCTCTCCTCCTTTTTTCTTTACTTTCTTCTCTTTATATTTTTCTTTATATATCCACATTTTTTTCATCTTTTAACTGGGCGCTCTCACAAACACGGACACTATAACAAAAAAGCCACACAACATAAACATCTTTATTCAGTTAAAAGATGAACCAATACCAACTAGCCCAATTATCCGTGCTACTGCCATATTTTTCCCTCCTCCTACCCTCAATATCGTATCTCTTACACACTCTCACTTTACTTTCCCGCTACCTTGCAGCACTATATTATACAAGGATATGTACTGCTTTCCCAAGGTGCCAGGATAGCCGAAGTTCAGCAGAGAGCGGGAGTTCTTCGATTCGCGTCATACACAAAAGATGGCGAGGTCGAGCACCTCACCAAGATGGGGTACTAGTCCAGTTCGAATTCTACTTCATCATAAGTGTATTTTAGGTGAACAGCCATTCTAGTAAAATGTGAGCTCGAAGAAATGGTCAGTTCTACTCGTTACTCGTCGAGTGTCTCCTCAGCAACGCTAGAGCAGGTTATTGTCGCTGTGTGATTGTACTTAAGTTTCATACTATTAGCGGTATTTTATGTTCATTCTAACTCACATTGTAATAAATTCCACGAAAATAAAAGAGCCAGGATAGCCGAATGGTTGGGACGCTTACATGGGTATCGTGGGTGTGCGAGGTCGAACCTCGCTCAAGCAATACATTTTTTTTTCGCCAAGAAGTTTTCTTTATATCTCTTTCTCTCTTTATTTCTCTCTCTTCGGATGCACAAATGGCGCCCATCAAGGTACTGCATCACTTCCCGTACAAATCGCGCAAGCGAAGCAGAAGAGGAAGAAGACGAAGAAGAGGAAGATGACGCGGAAGGAGCACATGGCGGGTGCCGTTAATGATGATGGTGGAAATAATTATATAGTTATAACGTATAGTCAGCCTCGACCTTAACAATACCTGCAACATGTTTTTCAGCATGGTGAATAAACGCTGCTGATCAGTGGTCGAAGATCTTGAGAACACCAGAGGCAGATATTGTAGCGCACCAAGCAACCACAAATTCGCCGCTAATTCTCAAATTCGTCTAGAAATCGTGCCATCCTCTTTCTAAAAATCATAGCGCATACAGCTTATACCAGAATGACGACACTATAAGTTGAAGATACCTGCCGTTGGCGGAGTGGAGAGTCGTGAACTGAGTAGCTAAAAAGGGTGCCACATGAAGCCGCCACACACTCATCCGTGAAATCACGATCACGCTGAAAATTCCACGCTCACCAAAAAAAGAGGGGGGGGGGGGCAAAAAATGAGGTAAAGTTCACGAAACTTCTTTTCCCCGTGCCAACCCATCTGCTTTGCTTCCAGCGCAATTATGCTTCACGAATTATCAGTATTTTTTGTGGTGGCCTATTTGTGAGGCAATAAACTCTCTAAATGAAACCGTAGGATAGATACTGAAGATGCTGTTGCAGGAGCAGTTTAATAGCTCTGCTGCAAAGTAAACATGTACTTTCTCAGCCAATCGCAGCAAAGATAAATAGTGTATTTAAATAAATCGATGTTAACGCAGAGAGCGGTCGAGTGGTTAAACGGCTCGTGCCGTGGAGCAAAGGGTTGCAGGTTCGATTCCTAAGCAGCGTGCGTTCGGAATTTTTCGGTACAATTGTCGATATAAATAAATAAATAAATAAATATATATATATATATATATATATATATATATATATATATATATATATATATATCGTTTGCTTCTCCGCACTACATCTTGAAAAACAGGCGAAAAAGTTGAAGATATCATCACCCAGGATAAGGCCGAACTTTTGTATGACATTACACCTCGCAGCGAATGTCTACCACGCATGTAAGAGCCCTAATATTGAGCTAAAAGTTCCAATGATGCGTTTGCTTCCCCGCACTACATGTCGAAAAGCAGTCGGAAAAGTTGAGGCCCTTATCACCCATGATAAGGCCCTTATCACCCATGATAAGGCCCAACTTTTTTCTGACGTCACACCTGTCAACGACCGACCTGCCACGCGTGCTACAGCTTTATTCTGAGCTAAATATTCTCCTGATGCGTTCGCTTCTCCGCAATACATGTAGAAAAGCATTAGAAAAAGTTGAGGCTCTGATCACCCATGATAAGGCCCAACTTTTGTGTGACGTCACACTTCGTAACGAACTATCCTCCACGCATGCAAGAGCCTTATTTTGAGCTAAAAGTTCCCCTGATGCTTTTGCTTCTCCACACTACATGTAGAAAAGCATTAGAAAAAGTTGAGGCTCTTATCACCCATGATAAGGCCCAACTTTTGTCTGACGTCACACCTAGCACGAAGAGCCTTAATACGAGCTAAAGGTTCCCCTGATGCGTTTGCTCCTCCGCACTACAAGTCGAAAAGCACTCGAAAAAGTTGAGGCCCTTATCACCCATGATAAGATCCAACTTTTTCTGACGTCACACCTGTCAACGACCGACCTGCCACGCGTGCTAGAGCTTTATTCTGAGCTAGAAATTCTCCTGATGCGTTTGCTTCTCCGCAATACATGTAGAAAAGCATTAGAAAAAGTTGAGGCTCTTATCACCCATGATAAGGTCCAACTTTTGTCTGACGTAACACCTCGGAGTGGACGTCTACCACGCGTGTAAAAGCGTTATTTGGAGCTTAAGGCACTCGTGTCTTTCGTGTCCTTCTTGTCTCTGTGTCGTCGTTCTGTTCTCGCGCTATAACTATCGTCATGCCATACCAACTGGCCCAAGC